ATGATGCTTGTAGTACCTGACAATGAAGAGGATGAATTCGCAGATGCGGTGGATACATTGGACTCGAATTCCTTACCGACTGCCACTGTTAACGCCGTTGAAGGAAATGAGGGGTATTCAACCTTGCGGATTGAAGGGTATATTAAGAAACAGAAGGTGATCATCCTAATTGATACGGGCAGCACGCATAACGTGGTGCATTCGTCACTAGCCAAACGGTCAAAGCTACCTGTTCAAACTGACCAGGCATTACGTGTCAACGTAGCTGGAGGGCGTCAGATTTTGGTCGATAAGTATTGTCGTTCCTTAACATGGTCCATGGCTGACTCATCCTTTGTTGATGATTTCTTGGTGATGGATCTAGGGGTCTTTGATCTAATTTTGGGAGTCCAATGGCTTAAAAAGTTGGGCCGTATTATATTGGATATGGACAAGCACTTAATTGCTTTTAATTACCAGGGCCGCTATTTTGAGATCGTTGGTATGGGTTCCTTGAAGCCCACCTTAACCGAGCAGCCCATTGATGACGGATTATTACGCAAGGCGCCCCATCTGTTTCTTGTTTATTCATACTCTATGGATTCTTCGGCTTTTCTAGCCGTTAGTAGTGCACTTTCTCTGACAAATACACAGAAGATGCAGCTGGATGCAATCCTTCGTTCTTTCCAGGACGTTTTTGAGGAACCTAAATCCCTGCCGCCACCACGAGCTTTTGATCATCAAATCCACCTTAAGCAGCCACAACCTATCAGCTGCCGTCCATACCGTTACGGTCCTATCCAGAAAGATGAAATTGAGTGTCAGGTGCAACAGATGCTTCATACGGGAATTATTCGCAGCAGTCAGAGTCCATTTGCAGCTCCAGTAGTTTTAGTTCACAAAAAAGATGGATCTTGGCGATTTTGTGTCGACTATCGACGGTTGAACGACCAAACGATTAAGCACAAGTTTCCCATTCCCCTCATTGAAGAACTTCTCAACGAATTACAGGGAGCTTGTTACTTTTCGAAACTAGACCTGCAAGCAGGGTATCATCAGATCCGAATGTACCCACCAGATATTCATAAGACGGCATTTCAAACTCATGAGGGCTTGTACGAATTTGTGGTGATGCCCTTTGGTTTGACAAACGCGCCAGCTACCTTCCAGAGCTTAATGAACTCTGTTTTTAAGGCTTACATACGGAAGTTTATTCTAGTTTTTTTTGACGATATTCTGGTCTACAGCTCTGACTGGGAGATTCATTTGCAACATTTATCTACCACGTTGACTGTCCTCCGTGAAAACAAGCTTTATGCGAAAGCCAGTAAGTGTAATTTTGGCTCAACAAGAGTCGATTATCTTGGGCATATCATTTCTGCTAAGGGTGTTGAAGCTGACCCTCAGAAAATTGCGGCAATTACATCTTGGCCCACTCCAACTACAATACGTGCATTACGGGGGTTTCTCGGCCTTGCTGGATATTACCGACGTTTTGTTAAGAATTTTGGTGTAATATGCCAACCACTGACTACCTTGTTACAGCATGATTCTAAGTTTCAGTGGAATGCCACAGCAGCCAACGCCTTTGAGGCTCTAAAACACGCCATGACCTCCCCTCCAGTGTTAGCACTTCCTAACTTCGCTGAACGATTTATCATTGAGACTGACGCTTCAGGATCAGGAATGGGAGCTGTGTTAAGTCAACGAGGCCACCCTATCGCTTTTGCAAGCAAAGGATTCAATCCTCGTGGTCGCACCATGTCAGCTTATGAAAGGGAACTTATGGCCATTGTATTTGCAGTTAAACAGTGGCGTTCTTATCTTGTGGGTCGCCCTTTTACGATTCGCACTGATCACCTTCCTCTCAAGCACTTACTGGAACAAAAATCAGTCTCATCTGATCAGCTCAAGTGGGTAAACAAGTTATGGGGATTGACGTATGACATTGAATACCGTCGGGGCAAAGAGAATTTAGCAGCTGACGCTCTCTCCCGGCAACATGATGGGTCTATCGCCGCAATCACAGCGCCCATGACTGACTTATGTGATAAGGTACAGAAGTCTTGGGCTACAGATGATCAGGTTCAACGCCTTATTGCTGAGTTGGATCGTACCCCTACGTCGCACCCTGTTTTTTCGTGGTCCAATGGATTACTCAAACGGAAGGGTCGTCTGGTTGTCGATGCTGATCGCGACCTTCGAACCGAGCTGTTGTCTTACTTCCATAGTGATGCGACTGGGGGACACTCAGGAGCGACGGCTACATATAAACGAATTTCCTTTGTTTTTCATTGGAGGGGCCTTGAACGTGATGTTCGTGAATTTGTCAGGAATTGTACAATCTGCCAGCGGTTCAAGTATGAGACAGTCGCTTCTCCAGGATTGCTTCAACCCTTACCTGTCCCAGATCATATTTGGACAGAGCTATCAATGGACTTCATTGGGGGTCTTCCGAAATCATACTCTCGGACCACCATTTTAGTGGTCGTGGATCGACTCAGTAAAGCAGCCCACTTTGTTGCCTTGAAACACCCATACACTGCTGTAGATGTTGCGCAAGTCTTTATGGACAATATAGTGAAGCTACATGGCTTCCCGAAATCTATTGTCACGGACAGGGACCCCATTTTCTGCGGGAAATTTTGGAAGGAATTATTTCGCCTTCAAGGAGTCAAGCTTCAGTTTTCTTCAGCCTACCACCCCCAGTCTGATGGTCAGACGGAGGTCTTAAACCGATGCCTTGAATGCTATTTGCGCTGTATGACCGGTGATTTCCCGAAGCAATGGGTTAAGTGGCTATCGTTGGCGGAGCTATGGTACAATACCACGTATCATTCAGCTATAGGTATGACTCCCTTTCAAGCGGTATACGGTGTTGCGCCACCCACCCATCTGCCTTACTTACCTGGTGATTCCAATAATGATATGGTTGATCGCGTTTGTCTATCCCGCGAAACGACGATTCAGCTCCTGAAGCAGCACTTATTGAAAGCTCAGAATCGAATGGTACATCAGGCTAATAAGCATCGAACTGATCGGGAGTTCTCGGTTGGGGATATGGTGTTATTAAAGTTGCATCCCTTTCGGAGGAATCTGCTGAACAATTCGTCTTTACATAAATTAGCGGCTCGGTACTTCGGTCCGTTTAAGGTGCTTAAACGAGTGGGTAAAGTTGCTTATGAGGTTGAATTGCCAAACGGGTCTTGTATCCACCCCGTGTTTCACGTTTCCTTATTGAAGCGTTCATCTCCTGTTGGCCACTCAGTCTCCCCTGTTTTACCACTAGTGGACGACGATGGGCAGATCACTGTGGAGCCTGTTGCTATTTTGGGACGTAAGATCACCAAAAAGGGTAATTTGCCGGTCACTCAAATCTTGATTCAGTGGCGCCATGCTCGACCAGAAGATGCTACGTGGGAGGACCTCTCCTTTATTCGTTCGCAATTCCCTGACTTCGACACTTCTGCGTCTCCTGCCAACACGATCCTTGTGGACAAGGATATTCTTTAGGGGGGGAGTAATTGATACGTGGTATTACTAGAAATTACTAGCACGTGCCTCTTAGCTGTCATTCTGTTAGACGAAACAGAATATTGTAACAGATTCAGTTCTTACTTTTACCATATAAGTACAGTTACTATGATACAAGAGGATTATTGAATAAGAAAATCCAGTTCCGTCTCTTTCTCTCTCTCTCTCTCTTCCTATTTCTTCTCTATCGGCCTGTACCATCTCTCTTCAAACTGGTAAATGCAGTGTCGCAGAGGCTGAAACGTGGGGCATTTTTAAGGGGTTGGCTCTAGCATGGAACTTTGGCTTCAAACAGATCATTATTGAATCTGATGCTAAGGGTGTGATAGAAAGTCCGGAGGACAAGATCTCCAATGTTTACCACAATCTCATGATTATACAGATCAGAAATTTACTGAGATACAACTGGAAAGTAGGGCTGAGATACATTACAAGAAATGGCAATGGAGTTGCTGATGTTGTAGCCAAAAAGGGAATCTCTACGTCCTCCTATTTTGATGTTTGTCCTCAAGATTCGAAGGGCATGGTGCACAAGGATAGCTTGGGATCTCGTCCCTTTCTGGCTTGGTTTCCTTTCTTTTGGGCGCAGCCCTCTTATGTACCCAAAAGACAGTTAAAGTATTTGAACTTCAAGCCCAATACCAAACCCAAGCCCAAAACATATCAATGACCAGCATTTTTGTTTTTGACCAGCAATGACCGCCGACCGGCCATTTTAAATGGTAAAAGTACTCAAGGTGTTTGGCAACCTTTAAAATCACTCTTGAAAAGTATTTTTTTGTAAAACGAGATAAACTCCTATATATATTTATTTCGTAAACTGTAAAAGCACTTTTGAAACCATGGTTTGGTTTCTATCCAAACACTCTTTTAATCCCTCACGAATTCAACTGCTGGAATATTTTTAGAATAATTTAAAATCAATTTTGACATTAAATATGTTATGTCACACATCAATTCTTTTCTCTCTTTTTTTCCCCTCATATTTTGAGCCAAGTATGGATCTTTTGTTGAAACCAAACAAACCCCCGTTTGAAAATTTTCTTTCAAGGAAAAGAAATGGAAAGGCAATAAATCCAGTGCCAATAAGGCACCCATGTCACCGATGTAACTATTATATTATGTCTTATTTTTAATATAAGAACTAGTTTGATTTTTAACTTAATTTTAAATATAAAACATAAATATAATATATTTTATTTTTTTTTATCTATTTTTTTTAAAACAATTCTTATAACAATTAGACATGTTGAAGATTTTATAACTAATACATATAATTAGTAAAGACATTTTAGGCAAGATAATACATATTTATTACAAATAATCAACTTAACAAACTTTATTAATTTATTTATATTAGTTAATTAGTTTTTATATTAAATAATAGAGATATTATTTATTATTTATTTTTATAATATACACTCCATTATATACTGTTATTTTGCATGATATGTAAATGTATGCAAAAATAGGGTCATGTAATTTTTCCAGTGTATTTTTCTTGCTCCTGGCTGAGTTAGGGTTCTTCCTTCTGGGCCACAGCCGCACCCGCACTCTCGCCCACTTTCCTCTGCTGAGCTGCCATTCTCTCTGGTCTCCATCTATCTGCAGCTCCTACCGGCTAGTTCATCTCATTGGCTTTCGATTTTAAGCGTTACTTTACGGTTTCTAATCTGCTAAACCGTCTTCGTGGGCGTACTTGTTCACGGTGACCGCCGATTCTCTTTCTCGGTTCTTTTTGGGCTTTGGCCAACTATTTCCCGCTTGTTATCATTCATAGTCTTCGCCAAGGAGGACTGGAGCTCCTGTATTTTTCAGGTTTCATGTCTCTCTCTCTCTCTCCCCACCGCTGAGAATATCCTAATGGCTTTTCTTTGGCTTTATGGATGTACTGGGTGAATAATTAGTATCACTTAGTTATGAGCCATTTAAATTAGCTGGGCTTCTGGACGATATGATTTAATTAAATATTTGATTGATTAAAAGCCAGCTGCATGGTTGCCATCAATTTATTAATGGACGTATTTGATTTAGTTCGTTTCTTGGGTATTGCATGCTTTGAAAAGAATCAAGATTTAAGGGGAAGCGAACATTCCAGATCTTTACGTTGGGATTCTTGATTGTCTGAAGAGAAATGATTGTCAAATACTTAGTTAACTTCCCATTTCATTACATTTTAAAAGGAGTAACCCTATAATTTCCTGCAAACTTTACCCATTGCCATCTTTCTGGTGAGCTGGATTTGTCCTTAGAGCGGCGAATTTCTCTCTCTATATTTGCCGTGTCTGCGCTGTCCCAAATGAAGTGCTTTTCAATTTTTATTAAATGGCTGCTCAAATGATACTGTATTTGTTTTTCATTTCATCTACTTTGTCGTGTTAGATTGCCCTGTCGTGGTTTAGTATTTTTGACCAGAATGATGCTAACTGTTCAATGAATTAGGGCAAAATGTGTTCTTGCTATGCTTCCTTGTAGCTGCACTCTTGTGGGATAAGGCTTGTTGATGTCGACTTGTTGTTTATTTCCAAATGCGGATAGGGCTTATTTGCCAAATACACGCGTGTGGAACTGGATTAATGAGCAATAGGTTTTGATTTTGCTAGTTGTAGACCCTTTCATTTAGTCAAAACATTGTTCTACGTCGTTTTGATATATTTTATTTTCATTCTCCTGCTTTGTGTGGTTCGCTTTGCCCAGCTTAAGGGCCTTTTTTAACCTTCAACAAAGGTGATTCATCCTCTATCCAGTAATATACTTCCATGCATAAAGTATATAGTTGACATCTATTTAAATAAGAAAGCTATAGGATGTGAAAACTCAGCCATAAATTTTGAACTTTTGGTGATGTGTATAATTTTAGTAGTTTAAGAAGACATATTTCTGGCATGATAGGTTCCAACTGGCAAATATATTATGAGGGGCGCAAGAGAGTTATTAAAAATTGGTTGTAGTAAAGTTTTGCTTGACGGGTAAGTGATGGCTATGGGCATAAAGAGGATGCGGAAGACGAATGAACAAGGGATTATTATCATGGGAACAGATGGGTATATATGGAATTAAATTGAATCAATTTTTTCTGTGATTTAATTATTTAATAAGTGTTTTTAATGATAGGAAACTACCTTATTGGATGCTGGTTATCATAGTGATTCTATCGAAAGTTTGAATAATTAACTTGCTGGACAATAAGCTACTAAGCTAAATGTTGTTGGAATTGCAATTATGAATGCAAATGATTTATATGGAATATTTGTACAGCGGTTTTTGGATGTCTGGTTTTTCTATGGTTGTAACTGAAGTTTGGACACAGCATATTCATATGTAGGTTCTCATGCAGTTTCCTTGTCATGTGGTCTTGGTATACAGATAGATTGGCGCCTAGTGAATTGCCAAGTCGTTTATTGATTTGATTACCCAGTTAAGGCAGCCAAAATGTCGCGGAAGGGTTTAATGGAACAGGACCTAAGTAAACTGGATGTGACAAAGTTGCATCCACTCTCTCCTGAAGTCATCTCTCGTCAGGCTACCATTAATATTGGTAATATTTTTATTCAATTTAGTTTGGTTTATTTACATCAGAATCGCCATAAGCATTAGTGATCTGAGAGAAATAACTAGGAAACTTAAGTTAGTTGTCCATGGAAGGAAAATTTAGAAAAAAGAACAAATTTAATCCTACCTATGAGTTCATAGTTTTTTTCTGTTCATTTTTTGCTCGAGCTGGTGAGCAATATTGTTCTGTATCCTGGCAGGTACCATAGGCCATGTGGCACATGGCAAGTCAACGGTTGTGAAAGCAATATCAGGTGTCCAGGTATCCTTCCCTCCCTTCCTTTGTTCATGCGCTACATGTTTTTGCAACGTGGCATGTGGTAATGTTATCCTTTACAGAGTAAATTTCGTTGCATTTTATATTGTATCTTGACCTATCGGGGAAAAGGAATAGGCATGATGGTGTCAGATTATGTTATTTGCATGTATTCCTTGAGCTTAAAATATTTATTTCTAAATTCTATGCCTTTGGATTCCCATTGTACATGCAGACTGTTCGTTTTAAAAATGAGTTGGAGCGTAATATTACAATCAAGCTTGGCTATGCAAATGCAAAGATATACAAGTGCGAAGATGAAAGGTGTCCTAGGCCTATGTGCTACAAGTGGGTATCTTTGCAAATGCCATCATAATTGCTGGTGATTTTGGGCTTCCATAATGTAGGTAAAATTGCTTCTGCAGGGCATATGGAAGTGGAAAAGAAGACAATCCTATTTGTGATGTGCCAGGGTTTGAAAACTGCAGGATGAAATTGCTGAGACATGTTTCTTTTGTCGATTGCCCGGTAAGGCATTTCTAAGTTTAGGGCTGATATGCTATTTGCGAAACGTGGCATATGGATTCATTTCCCTACTTCTGCCTACTCATTCTGTATATAGCTTGTTATCTTATTAATATGTTTCAACCCCTGGAGTTATGGTTTAAGTAATTCTTCTTCTTCCTCTTCTCTATACATTTTTCCATTTGGCACAGAATTTTTGTGTTTTCACAGTTATTGTCTGCATAAGTTGAAAAGTTAAGAAGGTCACTGGTTGATGTGAATTTATTGAATATATTAACTTTTTGCTTTACCTATTTGATATTATTATTTATTTTTCCAATTCCTGTAGGGTCATGATATTCTCATGGCTACTATGCTTAATGGAGCAGCAATCATGGATGGAGCATTACTACTCATAGCAGCTAATGAGAGCTGCCCTCAACCACAAACCTCTGAGCATCTAGCTGCTGTAGAAATCATGCGTCTACAACATATAATTATTCTTCAAAATAAGGTTGACTTGATCCAGGAAAATGTGGCTATTAATCAGCATGAAGCAATTCAGAAGTTTATCCAAGTAAGTTTTTAATGAAGCAGATTATGCTATGAGTGTCCAGTGAGTTAGGTTACAGTAACTTATATCTGCCAATTTTGTTGCCTACCAGGGAACAGTTGCAGATGGTGCCCCTGTAGTACCTATTTCAGCTCAGTTGAAGTATAATATTGATGTTGTTTGTGAATATATTGTGAAGAAGATCCCAATTCCTGAAAGGAATTTCGTCTCTCCACCAAATATGATTGTAATTCGGTCCTTTGATGTCAATAAGCCTGGGTTTGAGGTTGATGAAATAAAAGGAGGTGTAGCTGGCGGAAGCATTCTTAGGGTAAGTCTTTTTGTTTTATAATATGCTTGGTGTTGTACTTGTTCTAATCCTGGTTTGTTTACATTTTTTTTATTATTCCAATTAATTTTTGAGAATAATTTGTTTCTTTCTCAAATCCTAGTTTTCACTGAGTATTTGATTCTATTTGACCAAAAAGTTGTGAAAAGGATGTTTACAAAATGATGGGACTTGTTTTTGTCCATATGTAAAAGGTTAGGGTATGCTTTTCATGCTGAATATATGCATATTTTACCATTAAGAAATGTGTGCTGATTCAATACCAAGCCTTTATAATGAAATATTCTTTTCGCTTAGATTCGTACCAAGCTGAGTTTGTGATGATAATTTACCATGATGTATGAGGTCATTGACATAGGATTCGTGGGCAGATTCTGGAAGTCAGGTATATGACATGTTTCTGTCAAATACAATCTGATTATGTGTTCATTGCAGGGTGTTTTGAAAGTAAACCAGTTCATCGAAGTTCGACCTGGAATAGTTGTTAAAGATGAGAATGGGAATATCAAATGCACTCCTATATACTCAAGAATAGTTTCCTTGTATGCCGAGCAAAATGAGCTTCAATTTGCTGTGCCAGGAGGTTTGATTGGTGTTGGTACAACAATGGATCCCACTTTGACCCGTGCTGACAGATTGGTGGGGCAAGTTCTTGGTGAAGTTGGATCACTGCCTGAGGTCTACGTTGAACTTGAGGTAGGTGGCGTTAACTCGTTCGTAGGCACTGAATTTTCAGCTGTCAATTTACTGTCCTATCTTTTGAAATTTTGAGTAGGTAGAGGGAATTGACTTTTTGCTTATTATTATATATTTTTTCGTTGAGATATCACATTTATTTGACAATCTGGTATGGGATGTGGATTGCATTCAGAACGTTTAATCTTCCATATCTGTAAAAGTGGGGAAAAATTCCCCTCTTCCCTTGCTTTTCATTTCATGTGCGACAAGTTTTCTCTTTTCACTGTTTTCTTCAGAAAAGCATTGTTTGGCGTTGAGATATATTTGTTTTGATCATGCAGGTTAACTTCTTCTTGCTTCGACGCTTGCTTGGTGTCCGGACAAAAGGAACTGAAAGACAAGGAAAGGTATCTAAGCTGGCTAAAGCTGAGATCCTTATGTTGAACATAGGATCAATGTCAACTGGGGCTAGAGTTATTGCTGTAAAGAATGATTTGGCGAAGTTGCAACTCACTTCCCCTGTGTGCACTAGCAAGGGGGAGAAGATTGCTCTGAGTCGTCGGGTTGAGAAGCATTGGCGTCTGATTGGCTGGGGCCAAATCCAAGCCGGAACCACCCTTGACGTCCCACCCGCGCCTGCTCTGAATTAGTCTGAGTGACTAGAGAGTAGAGACAGCAAGGAAAACAAGAAACAGGTTATATAAATTGAGAATTTATAGATGTGGGAAGGCAGACAATTGTTGGGAACCATTTTTTTGAGGTGGAGAAGAAAACTTTTGTGCCGAGTATTTTCTTCTCATTCTCGTTTGTATTTTTTTTCCCCCTCCTCCTTTTGTCCATTGATGAATTTGTATGTTGTGCCGATATTTTAGAGTGGGAGCATTTCAACAGAGTATTCTTTTTCACAGGGACTCCTGGCTAATAATCAGTTTATTGCTTCACAATTAGTGTGACTCTATGCTCTGCGGTGCTGGTTCAATATCATACGCTAGTTTTGGGAAAGTAATGTTTGTATCATTGTATTTATGATTAATAAGCTTTTTTTTTTTAATCTGAGATGTAATTTACAAGTTCCTCCTGCCCTGGAGAACTGTGGGCTTCAGGAGGCTACTTCGGTTATATTTTTGTTTACGTGATGTGTTTTTTTCCGCCTGGCATTTTCATGTTAAATGTGTTTAAAGCTGACTGGATGTCTTTGTTATAATTTAGCCTTTTGGAGTGACTTATAATTATTTTTTTAGTCGTGATTTATAAAATATAGGGTAAGTACGTAAGAATTGTCTTAATTTATGTAAAATATGCTTATAAGTAATTATAAAATATAATTTCAAACGGGCTCTAAAAGAGCTTAGAATTTACCGTAGCCGAAGTGTTGGAATATTTTTTCTTTGGAATGGGTAAGCGATTTATTTATTAAAGTAATCAGTGCTAAACAGAAGTTTAGCGGCCTTACCTGAGATTTTTTTTTTGGACGAGTCGAATAATTCAAATCTGTTAGCCCGAAAGTAGCATCAAATCCTGATAATAAACTTCGGTATGTCTCTGGTTGACATCAACAAGTCTTTAAAGAAAATGCTTTTTTCACCCAAGAAAAGACAAATTGAAGACATTGCTTAAGTAGCCATTCATTGGTATAATACATGAACCCAATAACCAACCTTTGTTTAACGAAAAAAAATAAAAAATAACCAACCTTTGATCATAGGTATAATGCAACATTTTGTGCAGAGAGTAGATTTGGATCATTCTCACGAACAAATTTTTAATGAGAGGTCTTCACAAACTTTCTCCCTTTCCTTAATTTTAATTTCGATCACTAAAAGTTTTATTTTTGCATTTTTAAAACTTTTACGCCTTATTGATATTTTCAATTGGTGATGTCATATCCTACCTCCGGTCCTAATTACGGGGTAAGGTTGAATTTTGCCTTGCAAAATTTGCGTGTAGAAAATACAAGTAAGATTTTGTTAGATTAATATTATTGAAATTTTTTTAAAAAAGGAACAAAATTATACTAACCATTAAAAAAAATAACGTTGATACTTTAGAAACTAACATTGATCGTTAATACAATATATTTTTTTCTTAAATATTTTAGAGACAATATTGATCCAACAAAAACTTCCGAATATCTCGAAAATTTTTGAAACAAAATTGTACCTCATCATATAAATATAAGGGGGGAAAAATCACGAGATGGTATATATAAATATGACAAATTGATGACGGATCTAAGCTTAGAATATTTCCAGGTGCCGAATGAGGGGAGAAAGTAACTTCCAATTCTAATATTGTTTTCATTCTTTTAAATTTTCATATGACAAACAATGTGAACGATATAAAACACACAGTCATATATACGTATGAAGTTTCACTTTGGCCCTTTTAGAACTTCTACTTCCTTATAGGTATTTTCAATCGGCCGGTAACGCCTTAGAGTATCATATTCTAATGATCCTTTTTTCTCTCTCTTTCTCTCCCTAATCATTTAAAAAAAATAAAAAAAGAAAGATGGGATGAAGATAAAATCGACAAATTGAATTTTAGCTTCGATTTCGTCTTATTTACGATAAGACAAAACAAAGCAAAACAAAAAGAATCCATTCGTCGTTGAATTCGATTGCATTAGTCTTAACGTGCGCGGAGTTTCCGAGACTTGTGCTTATGGGGGATGCTATTATTGGCCTCTAATCTATTTTAACGGCACAGCTTTAAAAAGATGTAATCAATTAAAAAAAAACCTCTTTTATATCTTACAAAACCAAACTTGTTTCATATATTTATCTTGTACAACAGAAAATCACTAATTAATTCAAATGCACAAATATTAAAAGATCCGACACCACGTACGTATGTTATGTTAAATTATATTTGAGCATTATTAAACCCCAAAAGAGATAGCTTTTCTCGGAGTTACTTTTGCATTTACATTGATATTTGATCATCTAGCTTCGCACATAAGCAGTCATAAGACCTTTGAATAGGACCAATATCATTGTGTTTGTGGAAATACATTTTATTCACACACATACACTATATATACATGATTTGATCTTTATAACCAAAAAAGAAAATACTATTAGTAATTTATAAACAATCAATCCAATTTTTGCACTTTATAAGATCTCTTGTGCATTTCTACACAAACCAACAAAAACACATCTAGAGATCTGTTGGGGTATGCAACCGTTATTTCCTATTAGAGAATAGAAGTTATTACAGATATTACTCCTATATACTAAGCTTATTTAGTGGTAGATGCAACGAGATTATTATGGATGTTATGGTGAGCGAGCATATATATTTTGCATAGTTACGAAACTGGCGCATTGATAATATTGAGAAACACGAAAAAAGCGCTTCTCCTTTTGTAACATTATTCTGGGGCGGACAAAGTTGTGTTTAATTTGATTTTATGGATCCTTTGCTTCTATTATACTGCCTCTTGTCCTTGATATAAGAGTCTCTTGTCTTTAGTACTCTTCCGGTTTATAAGGGTATTATATTTAAGACTGGAGGAGTATAAGAACTAGTAGATTAAGAAAGTTTGTTAAGTTAGTTATTTGCAACACATATGAGTTGAATTCTCTAGAATATCCTTGCTAATCATGTATATTAGCTAAAATTATCATTTGATGGAATCTTTAACATGTGCAACTATTACAATGATTATTTAAAAAAATAAATAAATATGAGAGACAAAGTCAAACTACTTTTTATATTAAGGACTGGAAAAAATATATTTTTGTTTTTTTTAATTTGTATTCATGCCAGGTTTATTTATATTAATTATTTTTTTCAATTTAATTTAGTTCAACTTAATTCACCGTCCAAAACCTGCGTCCGTCTGTTTCTTTGGTTTTTACTCCAAAAATAAATAAGAGATCATTGATGGCCACCCTCTTGTCATGATTTTTCCAAGTCTCATTCTCTCTTCAGTTAATTAAAAACACAGAAGCTGGAAGAGAACCAGTAGTGTGCAATGCAGATACGAATCCCGTGCTTGATGCAGAAAGTATTCTGACATTGAAAAGAAGTGTGGCATTCAAAACTTCAAGAACAAACATGATTGTTGGAAATATAAGGTGCGGAGATCTTTGTGATGTCTCTAGTTTTCGTGCACTTCGATTTAATGAGGCTTCAAACTGTTCTCTCATGTCTGTTAATATTGTTTTGCATGGTGGCAAAGGTAGAGCCTGGACAAGCAATTAGTGAACACATGCACGAATTTGTGCAAAGAAGACATAGAAAGGAAGATGATTATGCATCGTATCTGGTGCTAAATTAGAGACATGCCATTTTACGAATCATTTTCTATCTGATGAGGTACCGAATGGGATATCAATTGCTGATCATTAATTTATTTTATTTTTTATTGATTTCTAGTTATCGTCTAAAACTACTTTTAATCTTCTGGGAACGACTTTATTCTAAGCGTAATTAATCTGAGGAATGTCCTCTCGCTAGTTCATTCAGAGACCACAGAACTTCTATATATGAATGAAACACCCATCTTTTTTCCTAGTTTATACTACATTATGTTCTTAACATAAGAGTTCATTTAACTCTTATTTTGCTTCTAAGTATAAGACTCCAATCCATTTTGTCTTTCATATTTATTCTTTTTTTTTAAGATAGTCTTTATAATAATAATAGTTCTAGCCAATACACTTGATTGGCAAATAATAATAGTTCTAGTAAATACACTTGATTAGCAAGGATATTTGATGAAATACAACATCTATTTATGACAAGTAACTAATTTAACTAATTTTTATAATCTAACCAAATTAATTAACTAGCTCTTATATTAAGAACTAGAAGTAGCATATGCTATTTTGTCATTCATCCAACACAAACGACACAGTATTTTGTCCTGTTCACTCATCTTCACACTATTTTGGCTAGCAAATTCAGCCTCTATCTCTTGCCTCCCATACATTTTACCAAATTTGATTACATTTGGAGCCATGAATACCATTCTTGAAGGTTCATTTTAGCACTCAAAATACTTCTCCGACATCCCAAATTTGAGTACATATATGTGGAGCCAGTCATTGACGCAAAAAGTGAATTATGTGGAGCCGGAAGAAGAAGAGAGCCCGTCAGCCAGATTGAAGATAAAGAGCACGATTATTTTGATAACTGTCTTGCAGTGCGGGCGTACAAGATTCAACCAAGAAAAGAAGAGTTTCTTGCAATGGTTTAAATTAACATGCATGTACACGATGATCCAGATCAGTGAGATTAGCCTGAGTACTTCTTATTTGATCACTATTATCTCTCTGTTATCGTTTGCATCATGTTATTATAGTAGTTCTAAAGTCTAAACCAACTCACAAGTTAACATGATGTAATCAAATTTCACAAATCAAAACCCGAATAAAACTATTAACTGTCACCGATGATATTAAATTTTCCGAAAATTGTTCTTGTTTATGTCGAGGAGCGCGATTTTCGCGATGTAAGGTTGACATGTACAATCATGCCAGAACTGTGAATTCGATCTTATCGACGACAAATCAACCGCCGTCTCCTTCACGTTCCAATTGTCTCAGTTTCAATGCCGCTTCCGGCCGGCGTTTCTTCATTTATATATGAAGCTTGAGATCAAAAAGCGATTCACGTTATTGAATTGACATACCAACGAACTTGTTGCCGTCGTCTTTCTGCTGGTTTTTCTTGTCTTGTTAATGTGTATATTTAAGCCTAAAACCAGAGAAACTCACCATGTTTTCATCAGCTTCTGCGGTGACACCCGTTCTGGCTTCACGAGCCATCTCGAAGCATCTTTTACCCGCCACGGAATCGTACCTTTCTTAGACCACAAAATCGACAGAGGAGATAAAATGTTCCCCACGCTCTTGCGAGAAATCAAACGATCCAGGATTTCGGTCGTCGTTTTCTCAAAAGAGTACGCCAGTTCAGAGTGGTGTTTGGATGAGCTAGTAACGCTAATGGAATGCAACAGGAAGAGTGAACAGATTGTGATACCCTTTTTCTATGGAGTGAAGCCCAAAGAGTTGAGAGAGCAATCGGGGAATTATGCAGCTGCTTTTGCAGAACATGAACAATCTTATGGTCGTCGAAGAGTAAAAAGGTGGCGGAGGGCCTTGACAAAAGCAGCCGATGTCTCTGGTTGGGATAGATCCTCTTACGGGTACTGCTATATATACGTATGCATGAATCATTCATTTCCTTTTCTCCCTCTCCTCCATATATGTGCGTGTGTGTTTCAAATCTACAACTTCTAGTGATCAACATTCTTCATTAGCACTCAACGAGTTTTAGACTATATCATCAGTGCTTAACCAAGGCAACGTGCTACTAACGCCACATGCTTTTGACTTCTGCATAACCAAGGCAACATGCTACTAACTACACATGCTTTTGACTTTTGCATAACACCAAAGCAAGATCATAAATGAAATCGAAACGGTCGAGATGATCACCCCACTTGTTCTTAGCTTGTCCTTCACCCATTGTTCACGCTTAATATCTGCCATTTATGTGCTCATGTAGGGTGAGATTCTGTTGTCCATGTAAGAGGAAAACATTTCTTTTAAGATTAATGGTGCTTGTAAAGCCACAGCAAGATTTTCTTTCTAAGGATTTCAGGAAAATACTATTTTGAATCCTTTGGTTATATAAAAAATAGTAATGTCATGTGCAACTAGTAATGGAGAGATTATTGGAGTGTAAAATCTTCCGGTTTCGATAGGCGCATTTGGATCGGTTCTTTCAGATCGGAAAGAATATGATCCGATCCTTCAAATAAAAGTAATTAATTGCTAGTTGTTGTGTTGTATAGAACGGAGTTTGGGCTTGTTGGGGATATAGCGATTGACGTGAAGAACAAATTAGAATGAATTGGCCAACGCAGCGGCGAGCAGAGACAGCAGCAACACTATAGCGGCAGCCTGCATTCTCAGATCAGCTCCAATCGCTGCATTAAAAGCGAGTCGCAGGGCACATTTGTCAATAATTCAAGCCTATATATATACATAGATTTTTTTTATGTTTAAACTTTATATTATTGTGTGTATATATTTGTGACGCTTTATATACGTGATGAGGCTTGTTTTGGATATATGTTTAAATTGTACTAAGATATTTTGTTTCCATCATATGATATAATAATCACTGCATCCAAAAGAAAATTCACTAATCAATAATTACGAAAGTTTTATTAATGTAAGAAATTTTTAAAATTAAAGTATCATCAAATAATTAGTTTGTTCAACAGGCTAATCACGAATGAGTTTGTTCCTTTAGTCACACTCAAAAGCCACATTACCCATTTGGACTTGTTTGTATATATTGTTAGGATGCCAAGATTAAGTGGAATTATAATTACAATGTTCAAGGAGAAACAAAATAAAAAGGGATTTTTCCAGCTCAAGATTTTTTGTAGTATCGAAACATGTAGTTTTGTATCTTCTGTCTTGGTAATCGAAAGCCACTAGCTAGGCAGGCGCTGGTTCAAGCCATATATATCAAGGAACGAACTAATAAAAAATGTTTGAATAGCCAATTAGAAGAATATTAATAAGAATAATAAATTAATCAAGTACAAGAACTGTCTGTCAAACCTTATTAAGGATAGACTACCCAGATAGTATATAATATTTGGGTCAAACTTATCATACTCCTCCGGTCCTTAATATAAGACCCATTTAACTAATTTGATTAGATTAAGAAGTTAGGTAAGTTGGTTAATTATGAGAAAAGTGACACATTTTTCCTAAAACACCATAATCATCTTTCTTAATACCTCATCTCCCTCTTCTATTTGATTATGGTTGAGGGAGTATCCATAGGGGTAGTTTAGAGAAAATTGATAAATATGATAAATGGGTTTTATATTTAGGACCAAACCCAACTCAATAATTGGGTCCTATATTAAGGACCGAGGAGTAGTTACTAAATTTACATGATATGGAATTTTGCAATGTTCAAGCTGGCAAGTGGGAATATATTAATGCGTCCCTAAGGGATTGGGAATATAATGCCCAAGTGCGGGCCTTTTCGTCGCCCATTCCTATTCACATTTTCCTATTTTTTCTCTTCTTTTTTCTTCCCGGGTCAAATTTGATGGCTGTACATTTAATTAAGTCTCTCTTGCCAAAAAAAAAAAAGAGTGATTAAGTCTCTTCGTTCGTACTTCATATTTTGATCACACATTAGATTTTAATTTCTTGAATAAATTTTTTTTTTTGTGAAAATATTCATGAGGTCCCACTTCCATGTATATGGTATTGCATGAAAGATGATTGAGAGTTTCATTATAATAAAATAAAATGAATTTATCTGGCCTAAAATGAATTTATCATAATTTGATTTTTTTCCCATATTTCTTAATATTTTACCTAGTTCTTATACCTATGAAGAAAAGTATTCATATGCTCTTGATAAAAGATTTAAATATAAATCTCGAATTTCATGTAATATTAATAGGTTTATAAAGGAATTTAATATTTGAATGAAAGTCTTCCCTTATTGTGGTCCGCGCTAATTCTCAACAATTTTTCAAATTTAATTATTCCTAAGAAGGTTACGCCTGCTCAATTAACTTTATATCCAAGCCATTGACTTCTCAGCTCTCACTAATTTTTCCCTTTAATAGAAAAAGGTTTTTCATCTTTAAGCACCCTTGGTCCTACATATAAGCGACGAAAGCTTTCATTCAGAGTTTGAAACCCAGTAGAAGAGTTAGATCCGATCAACGAAGACTTCCACACAAAACAACTTGTGTTATGGCATCAATGAATCGCTCATCCTCCAGTGGTACTGTTCCTGCAGAAAAGCACGAAGTGTTCATCAGTTTCAGAGGAGAAGACACTCGCAAGGGCTTCACAAGCCATCTCAACGCAGCTTTCAGGAGGAACCACATCAGAACCTACGTGGACTATAATCTCCAGAGAGGAGACGAAATATCAACCACTCTTCTTAAAGCTATTGAGGATGCTCAGCTTTCTGTGATTGTTTTCTCTAAGAACTACGCTAACTCCAAGTGGTGTTTGGATGAGCTCTTGAAGATTCTTGAATGCAAAAGAACCAGAGGCCAAATAGTGCTGCCTGTCTTCTACGACATCGATCCTTCCTTCGTGCGCAATCAGATAGCAAGTTATGCAGAAGCGTTTGAGAAACATGAAAAGAGATTTAGGGATGACTTGAGCAAGATCCAAAGATGGAGGAACGCTTTGACAGAAGCTGCAAGTTATTCTGGCTGGGATTGCACCATCAACAGGTAAAACAGAGCACCGTTTTAAGGAAAGCTAATTATATTAAGTTTGGTATATCACAGTGGCTGTGAAGAATTAATAACTTGGGAACTTTAATTTGTGTGTTGGTGCAGGATGGAATCAGAGCTGGTGGAGGAAATAGCGAAGGATGTGTTGGAGAAATTGAACAGAGTGTACGTAGGAGACATAGATGAGAAGATCGCCAAGTATGAAGAACTTGCACAGCTGCAGAATGAATATGCACGCAAATTACCAAGTATCGACAACTTTCACAAGGTTGATATCACAAAGCAATGCATCGTTCAGCTGCAAATGGAGAGAAATCTTCGTATGCTTCGTCTCACTCCTGACATGCTTTCTCACGTCCAACAATCTTATCCTCCCAATAATTATCGTTTTTTCTAGCTCAAATGTAACGGTAATTTTTCCAGGTTTTATGTTCCTGTTTTGCTCTATTTGTCTGAGATAGATATATTTAATTAGTACTTCTATTATTTTGGCTTTCCCATTTCTAAGTTTGTGCGGGTGTGTCAAAAATGAAAAATGTTACATTGCTGCTCAACTCTTAATCGAGTGAAGGTTGTAAAAACTCTGATATGTACTAATAACAAAAAGACTTGTGAAGAGTTATCCGGTTTAATGGTTAAAAAAAAAAAACCCGAATGAAAAGGATTTAATGTTTTATTTTAAGTTGTTTGAGTCGTCATACATGCAAGAAGGACCTAAAACAAAACCCCCACCCCAAAAAAAGAAAAAAATGAAAGTAGGAAAGTTGACTTGGCTCAACTCCCTATACTTGTTTCACGCATAGGATTTCATTATATTATGTTATATAGTTTAAAATCAAATTGCAAATAAAGTAGTCATATTATTTTTGACTTATAAATAATATGATTTTCTATAAATTTTAGATTATTTATTGATTCAAACTTTGTGCAGTCATATATTGAAATGAATTTATTTGGATTGAAGCGTGTTTTTAATAATTAGTGTTGTAACAAATATATTTATTAATTCATCTGAAATTAAGGCAGCCTGCATCCGTATTGTAAGCATATTTTATTTCGAAGAGTAACATTAGCAGTAAATAACTAATAAAGGTCTCTTTCTATTACCAGTCATTTTTACTCGTTTTATTCACTCTTTTTGTTTTTGTTTTTTTTTAAAAAAAAGAAGTTTCCACGACTTGAAGTCTGCTCTTAACGTCCTCTTTTTTTTGTTTGACCAAAATTCTCATTGTCCCTGAAAAAATGTTGATTAGTCAAACTCGACGGCTATAATTAAGAACCCCACTAGCTTGATGCGTTGACGGTTATCATATGGCAAGTTGGATTGTTCCTATTTATCGTTAAATAAATTTTTTGTTGTTCCTGAAGATTCCCAACTAATCAAACTTCAGTGATATTGAATACTAGTACCAATTATTTGGAAATTTTTCCGGGTCATTATTGCACTTGTTTCTTTTTTCTTTTTTTTTTTCTTTTTGCCGTATTATTGCACTTGTTTCTAGAATCTAGCTTCAAGCAATGAAGGGGGATTTATTTTCCATTCATGTTCAAAGCTGACTCATGTTACCCAAAAAAAAAAAAATAAGTTGACTCAATTACAGCACTTGGCGAAGACTCTACAAGGTGTTCGCCTAATCTCAAAAGCACTTGTGAAAGAGATGCCTTCAAATAATAGAGATAAAACTCCCCTGATATATTTACTTCATATATAGTAAAATCACTTTTAAAAACATGATTTAGTTTTATCCAAGCATCCTTTTAGTTTCAAACATTAGAATTAGTACCATTCTTGTCCTTAATAAATCATTCGTATAGAATAATTTTCTTTGAGTTGCAGAGAGTAAAGAGCAATTAAGCCTATCCTAATTAAATTTTCCTCGTACTAAAAACTGAGTGAACTTTGCAAACTTTTGATTGTCCAGCACAACTCATAGTTGACAAAATATACACAAACATATTAATAGTTTATGTGATAGTTTACGTCCTTATTTAATTGTCAGTTGGCAATTGGCATCCTTACCATGATTATTAAATATTTTGGGTTAATACTCTTCCAAGATGCAAGGACCAAATGTTCACAGGATGCAAACAGTTATATAATGGTGTAAATAAATTTTGGGTTAATACTCTTCAACTCGTAAATATAAGACCCATTTTGTAATATAATTTATGCTACAAAATATGTTTTACATTTAAGATTAGAAGAATATTGTTTTTCATCTCTAAAATGTGGTCTTATTTTGATTTTAATTCCTAAAATTTAGAACCAATAGTTTTGGTTCCCAAAACTTTATTTCAGTGACCAAACATTTTTAAGCAAATCAAAATAAAATCCAATTTCAGGGACTGAAATAATTAGTTTAAATTTCAGGAACCAAAATCAAAATGAAATCAAATTTCAGGAACCAAAATTAGTATAAACCCATTAATTTTAATTAAAAAATTGGGTCGAGTAACGCAGAAACTAATTAAATTAAGCTGATAATAGAGGAATCTGAATCTTTTGGTTGGCTAAAATATATACGCTAATTAAGATAATTTCCTTTTTTTCTTGGTCTTATATAACAATTATTCCGATCCCAAAAATAAAAGCTAAATAATTGAATTTTTTTCTAGTAAAAAATAATTAAATTTTTAAATGTTACAAAATAATTAAATTAGTAATCTGTAAGAAAAATGTGTAGCAGAAACTAAAAATGAAGAGTCCGCAGGCAGAGTTGGGTGCAGTCCTGTGCCCTCCCTTAAGGGTCCGTTTGGTATGAGCAATCTCTTTCATGTTATTTTAATTAAAACATGATGAAATTGGAGTGTTCTTATTTATCTTTAAATAAAGTTTTGTGGTCTCCTAAAATTCCCAACTAATCACACAGTTTTATTAACTATCAAAATTAATTGTAGATTTTTTGGGGGGTCATTGCATTTTTCTCTAGAATCTAGATTCAACTGATAAGGTGGGATTTATTTTTCAATTCTTTAAACTTAATTCAACTTCCCCGAAACTCCAAGCGAATTTTCTATTCATTTGTATCATTTCCTTTCAACTTCTCTCCAGTTGACTTTTGTGAAGAAAGTAATTATACCCAAGGTTTTTCTCTCATCTATACCACTCTAATCGTTATTATTTGTCAGAGAGAAATTTTGGTTCTTTTTATTTGTCACTTTTATCTTTTTTAATACTACCTCTGGTCCTCAATATAACACTTTGTTTGATTTTTATTTTAGTCCTAAATATAAGACTCCAATTCACTTTGTTTCTCATATTTATGCAATTTTTCCTAAGATAGTCCTTCTAATAATTGTAGTTTTAGCCAACACACTTGACTAGTAAAGATATTTTAGGAAAGACAACACCTATTTATTACAAATAACTAATTTAACTTATTTTCTTAATCTCCTCATATTAGTCAACTAGCTTTTATAATTAGGACCGGAGGTAGTACTTCATTTCTACTTTTTTCCCCTATTAATTATAGTAAAGTTGAAGACTAGTGTTTGATGCTCTTCTTAATAAAGGCAAAAGTGAAAGGCTTCATCTATTTAATGCTCTCCTTAGTATGTGAGAAACTCCTGCAAGTGACAAATAATAAGAATAAAATGGTGTATATATATTTCGCATATTTCAATCCCAAATTCAAAACTTAGAACAAATTTCACATCCAATAACAATAAGCTTGATACAAATTTGACATCCAATAACTATCAGCTTGATCTATCACAATTTAAGAATGCCGCGTTCGACCTCCATGAGAAGTAAAGATCTTGCAAGCTGTTAGAATATAATTATATTGTTTATTGTTTATACGGTTAAATACTTGTATAGCTGTATCATTTATATCTCCTCCCTACACGTGTATGGTTATAATTGTATAGCTTATAGAAACCCTATCTATTGTGTCCTATATATATTAAAGGAATCTGAGCAGAGCCGCTATAGTGTCTCAGAATATTCATTTATCCTCATTGTATTGTCTATTCTTTCTTGGTATCAGAGCCAGGAAATGGCGTCTCCCAATACGTCTGATGCTTCTGATTCAACAGTCACAAAGACTTATAGTCTATTTAATTCATCCTCTCAGACCTCTGCGATCAAGTTGGATCGCACCAACTATCTTGTTTGGGAGTCGGTCGTCCTGCCTCTAATAGAGGGAAACAAGCTGGAATCCCACATCAACGGTCTCGGTCATGCTCCTCCTCGTCTCATTCCAGCTGTAGCCGGCGATACTACTAGGGCAAAATCAAACCCAGAGTATGAAAACTGGCATTCTGTAGATCGTATGCTCGTCAGATGGTTGAGAAATACGATGACTCAAGATGTTGCAGCATAGCTGCTCCACTGTCGTTCGGCCGAAGAGTTGTGGACTGCAGCCAAAAGCCTTACCTGTGCTTCAACCAAGGCTCGGATTATGATTCACAAAACTAAGCTCCATAGCACACGAAAGAACAATCTGAAAATGAAAGAGTACCTGGGTAAGATGAAAAATATCTCAGATCAGCTAGCACTAGCTGGAGCACCAGTGTCGACAAAAGACCTTATTTTGCACACTCTTAATGGACTCGATGCTGATTACAATGCCATTGTAGTCAAGCTATCGGACCAACTTCATCTCAGTTGGGTCGAAGTGCAGGCCTCTCTGTTAGCTTTTGAAAGTCGCGTTGAGCAGCTCAGTCAAATGTCATCTTTGACCATTCAACCCAGTGCCAATATCGCACAAAAGGCCGATATGTCTGATGAAGGCCGTCGCTCCTCTAACTCCAGCAATAATCATGGTGGCCGGCATGGCCGTGGCGGCTCTCACAGTGGTTACTCCAGAGGACGCTGTAGTGGTAGTGGTGGCCGTAGTGGTCGCCCGTTCTGTACCTATTGTGAAAGGTATGGACACTTTGCTGCAACGTGCTATGATCGGATGGATCAGCAAAATGCGTACCCGCCTCCCCAACCGAACTTCTACTCCTCTGGTTTTCATCGTCCTCGGGCTCCAGATCATTATAACCCACAAGCTTACTATGTTAATCCCTACTCAGTTGCTGACCCAGCTTGGTATATGGATAGTGGAGCAAATTATCACGTCACACCGGATTTAGATCAGCTGGATTATGTTGCTCCCATAGGTAAGACTCATCTATACACTTGTACTAGACAACGGAGTCCTATCTTGGGTGTCGGTTCTACTACTATTCCTTGTAATCATTCTCAATCTAACCTTCTACCTAAGCACGGAATGTATCCAATAGGACCTAAATCTCCTCAGCCACAAGCACATGTCGCAGACACGCATTCAGTTCCAGATTTTGTTTATTGGCACCATACTCTTAGACATCCTGGTTCTAAAGTTTTGAAGCAAGTTTTAAATAAGTGTAAATTGAATATCCATGTGAATGAAAATTATACTTGCGAAGCTTGTCAATTTGGAAAATCAAAGCTATTACCTTTTCCTAAGTCTCATTCTCAAGCTTCTTCTCCTCTAGAGTTAATTCATACTGATCTCTGGGGACCATCTCCGGTCCAATCTGTTAATGGTTACTGATTTTATATCCATTTTGTTGATGATTTTAGTCGCTACACATGGTTATATCCACTCAAACATAAAGAAGAAGCAATCCCAGCCTTTAATCATTTTCGAGCTCTTGTTGAAAATTAGTTTGATGCCAAAATAAAATCATTTCAATGTGACAATGGATCAGAGTATAAACCATTTATTCCTGTTGCTCAAACTGTTGGTATTAATATCAGATTTACTTGTCCTTACACTTCTCAACAAAATGGTAGAGCAGAGAGAAAAACACAGACATATAGTTGAAACTGGGCTAACCTTACTTGCGCATGCTCATATGCCTCTCACATACTGGGTGGATGCTTTCTATATGGCTGTTTACTTGATTAATAGACTTCCAACACCAATGCTTAATGGCTCAACTCCTCTGTTCAAATTATATAAAAAGGATCCAGATTATAAGAGTCTCCAACTGTTTGGGTGTGCATGTTATCCTTGTTTGAAACCGTGTAACGAGCATAAATTTCAGTTTCATAGTCAACGATGTGTATATCTCGGACCAGCCGCTCAGCATAAAGGATCCAGGTGTTTAAGCGCCTTTGGGAAAATCTTTGTTTCTAGACATATTGTTTTTTATCCCACTCTGTTTCCTTTTGCCACAGGTTTTCTTAATCACAAATTGGGCTCTGTCTCTCCATCCATTGTTTAGCCTCTGATTATTCAACCACCGAGAATTCATGACACAGCTGATCCAGTCCATAAGCCTAATCCATCCATCTCTTCAGTTGATAGTGATGGGTCCAATAGTACTCAAGCAACTGATCATACTTCTTTGGACCGAGCTGCAAATCAACCAGAAACTTCAGGTGAACTAACGTCCATTCTTCATCAGGCCAAGCTTCAAATGATGGCCATCTCCTCCAGTCAATCCGCCAAGAGATGTGAACACTCATGTCATGACAACATGGGCCAAAGCGGGTGTTTTAAGCCCAAATATCCTTTTGTCGGGCTTCTTAACTCTGAAGATCCACTTTCCTTGTCCAAGTGCTTAGAACCCAAGTCAATCAAGGATGCCCTAGCCATCTCTCATTGGCGTTGTGCAATGGCAGAAGAATTTGATGCACTCCAAAGAAATCATACTTGGATATTAGTTCCATATAGAGGCTAGAAACTTGTTGATAGCAAATGGGTCTTCAAAACTAAGTTCCAACCAGATGGGTCACTCCTAAAGCCGAAAGACGTTTTCATGACACAACCAGAGGGCTTTGTCGATCGGTAGAGACCGAATCATGTCTGTAAGTTAGTCAAAGTAATATATGGTTTCAAACAAGCTCCCAGAGCTTGGTTTGATCGCTTATGGTGCACTTTAATCAATTGGGGATTTCAAAATGCTAAGAGTGATATCTCCCTCTTCTTCTTACGGATAGACAAGCTAACAGTATTTGTCTTGATCTATGTGGATGATATTTTGGTGACTGGAAACAATCTGAACTACTTGAATACCTTTGTGAAAAGACTGAATACTCTATTTTCCTTGAAGGATCTCGGTCCACTGTATTACTTCCTTGGTCTTGAGGTCTATAGAGATAGTTCAGGCATGCTAAATATACACTTGATATATTGAAGAAATTTAATATGCTTGATTGTGCACTTGTCACTACTCCTATGGTTACTGGGAGACAATACTCAATGAATGATGGTGAATTGATGAATGATCCGACTCTGTATAGGCAAGCAATTAGGTCTCTACAGTACCTAACTACTACACATCCTGATATAGCTTATTCTGTAAATAAGCTTAGTCAATTTCTTTCTCAACCAAGGACCACTCATTTTCAAGCAGTAAAGAGGATTTTTCGATATCTAAAGGGTCCTTATCATTTTGGATTACATCTGAAACCTCTCAAGTCTTTACAGTTACATGCCTTTACTGATGTTGATTGGGCAACAAACATTAATGACAGAAAATCGATGGGTGGTTTTTGTGTATACTTTGGAGGTACATTGATTTGTCGGTCCTCACGGAAACAAAGAGTTATCGCTCGGTCAAGTACAGAATCAGAGTACCGAGCCCTTGCTGATGGAGCAGTTGAACTACAATGGTTGAGCTCCCTAATCTTCGAATTAGGTCTATTCATAAAGAGACCATCCCTTATTTGGTGTGATAATCTCAGTGCTAAGGCCTTGGCAGCAAATCCAGTGCAACATGCTAGAAGCAAACACATCAAAATAGACATTCATTTTGTGCGAGATATGGTGTTAGTAGGAAAGCTCGACATTAGATATATTCCTTCAACTCAACAAGTAGCAGATTGCTTTACCAAGCCCCTTGCTCAAGCTCTTTTTCAGTCATGCAGAAACAAACTCGGGATGCGTATTGCACCCTCTCGTTTGAGGGGGAATGTTAGAATATAATTACATTGTTTATTGTTTATACGGTTAAATACTTGTACAGCTGTATCATTTATATCTCCTCCCTACACGTGTATGGTTATAATTGTCTAGCTCATAGAAACCCTATCTGTTGCGTCCTATATATATGAAAGGAATCCGAGTACAACCACTACAGTGTCTCAGAATATTCATTTATCCTCATTATATTGTCTATTCTTTCTCAAGCACCATTGACGGACGTTTTATATACAATATCCATTTGCTTATATTACAACATGGGGATGTTTTATTATTTATGTATATTTTGTTTGGTTGGAGACATGCATCTGCAGATTGAGAGGTTAGAGCAACCGGCACAGCTTCA